ATAGTGCAGCTAAATACCTTCATTAATTTATTTTTCATTAATTTAAATAAATAGACTCAAATTTCCAAAATGTGAAAACAGATTAATAAGTAGCAAAAAGATTGATGTGAAAACAGATTAATATGGATGAGGAAAATAAGTAGCAAAAAGATTAATGCGAAAACAGATTAAAAGGAGGAAAACAAGAAAATGAATTTATCTATTTTTTCCTTGATAGTTGACACTACTTGGGTTGTGTTTCACAAAATCGGCCAACTCATAATAGAAGGAAGAATTCTTGTTAAGAGGTTTTATTTTAATTCGTCAAGAAATAGGAGTCAATATTTTAAGTAAACTATCAATAAAAATATGTCCAAACTTGTTTGACATTGAGACGTTGTTGCTGTTGATTGGCAAAAGTGCCAACGTGGCTGTGTCATGTCTATTCCCACACAGTGGATCAACCATATACGGAAAAGTTGAGAAATGATTTTTTTCCCAATAGAATACACCCTTAATTCTTGCTTAAGTTGAATTGATCCTTAAACCTCTTTTAGCTTATACTCATACTCAGGTCACTAAAGTTATAACAGAAATGTTTATTGATTCTCTTATGTAAATGTGACATTGTTTATGAAAAAGTTTGCGTATAAGAATAGCAAGGTTTTTTTAGAGATCAAAGTGTCATTCAACCTATAAATGATCATATGTCTATAGCATAATATGAAAATAACATCTAAAACATATTTTCAATGAAATTAAACTCAGGATTATAACAGAAGCCTCAGACTAATCTTTCCAAAGGAAAACTACTTGATTTTTGAAGGGTATTTCTCCAGTTATGTTGTTGGAAGGAATGTGACCAGAAATTAGATTGCAACATATACTTAGAAACTTCAGATCAAGCAAGAGGGACAACAGTGTTTCGGGAATGATTATCGACCAAGGACAAAAATGGAAGCTGGCTCAGATTACCAATTTTTCTTTGGAACTCTCTGATGTTAAGATAGGCTTGTTGGAATACTTGTGCAGGTAAAGTCCAAAGAAGACAGTAATTAATTAGTACAAGGAAATCAAAAGTGCTCAATTCACTAATTGTTTCATCACATTCAAAAAGCAAAATCGTGCAGCTAAACACCATTATTTCTGATTTCTTTCAAGCATTCAAAACATAATCACAAATAGATAGGTCCAAAACCACTCAAATGAAATTACAAACAATACATGACTTCAAGTACTACTATACAACAACTTTATTAAAGAAACCAGGTAAACAAAAAACATCATAGTAATTTGCAGCTCAGAAAAGAACACCATGACTTCTATGTTTCCATAAATGTATTCTTGATTTTGTTAAGCCTCTTCACTACTTCTTTCATGGTCACTCTTGATTCTGGCGTTTCCTTCGTGCAGTCTAAACCCAATTCTATCATGGATGCTATGCAGATTTCACTTTTACTAGTGATTTGTTCTTCCTCAGAAAAAAGATTGGCATCCACAACGTCCATCATACTCCCTGAAAATGATTGTGTGATCCATTTCCTCAAGTCAAGATTTTCATTGCATATCTCACACAATTCCCTCCGAGCCATAATCTTAGAAAAGGATTGAAGAAAAGTTACTCAATTGAAATACAACAATAATTCTCTTTTACTTCTATTATTTGGAGAGGCTTTATTATGATAAGAGAAAATCAATGAGAGTAGATTTTTATACCTGGTGCAATGTATCCAAGAGTGCCCAATGTCTCTGTATGGGCCACAGATTTGCTGAGAGCTAAAATCTTAGAGATTCCAAAAATCACCAACATTAGCCACCATATCTTCATCCAAAAAGAACGTTGGCTGGCTTCAAGTCGCAATGAACTATTGGAGTGTTATGACCATGGTGTAGATATTCGATTGCCACAGCCACATCAAGCATTATGGAGACTCTTTGAAGGAGGTTCAAGTGGAACTCTTCTCTATACAACCAATTCTCAAGACTCCCATTGGGCATATATCGCAGAACAAAGGCTCTTATATACTCACTAGAACAAGTAGTAATCACCGGAACAAGATTTCTATGTCTAACATTTCTCATGACTTCACATTCGGTATCAAACCTCTTGCATACTTTCTCATTTTCCAAATCCAGAACCTTAATGGCCACTGCAGTTCCACCAAACAATGTGCCTTTGTACACAGAGCCAGAGCTTCCCTCACCAATTAAATTGGATTCATCAAAATTATTTGTTGCTCGTCGAATCTCATGATAAGAAACTAATTGATGAGTCCCGATCTCCGGTACCTTCTCTTCATCTTTGGACTTTCCTTTCTTCTGTAGTTTCATTATCCAAATTGAAACGAACAAGAATATCAGAAAGGATGAAATAGTAAGTGGAGTAACAATTTTTAGCAGAACCTCCTTAAGCTTGATTGTTTTCCAGGATTAGCGATAGCACAAGCAGGAATCTCCAATATGTGCATTCCACATAGACCTTTGTTCCCAAGAAATGATTGCAGAGTGGAATTTGCAAACACACCACCACTGGGTATTTCACCTTCTAAATCATTAAATGAAGCATTAATGCTTTTAACGTACGAGAGTTTTTCCAAAGACTTAGGAATAGTACCTGACAACAAGAGTTTTTCCAAAGACTTAGGAATAGTACCTGACAATGCATTTAAAGACAGATTCAAGAATTCCAAGTTTATCAAGTTGGCAAATGATAATGGAATTCGGCCAAAAAATGAATTGTTCGATAGGTCAAGATACTGCAGATTTTGGAGTTCCCCGAATCTGGTTGATATCATGCCTGAAAAGTGGTTACTGGAAAGATATAGTTCTACAATGGCTTTCAGTCCTCCAATATCTGATGAAACTTTTCCCTCTATTGAATTTCTTGAAACACTTAGATAGAGAAGACCACTCATCTTCCAAAGGCTCAACGGAAAGTTTGAAGATAATTTGTTAGAATTCAAAGAAAGCTGTTGAAGCATGCTAAGATTTCCTAAGCATTCGGAATTAATCCAGAGAGTTCATTTCCATACAGATATAATTCAACCAAATTAGATAAATGGCATACCGCCTCTGGAATATGTCCCTGCAATTTATTGTTACTTAGATACAGCCCTTGGAGTTGTTTAAGCTTACCAATCTCAGAAGGAATACTCCCTGTCAAGTTGTTATCGTCAAGGCTTAGGGATGTAAGACCGGTCATGTTGCCTATACTTTTGGGGATGAGGCCATTGATGTGTGCATCTTCTATATTAAAGTTATGAATAGTAGATGAAAGATTCCCAATTGAATTGGGCAGAACGCCATTTAATGGATTGGAACCCACTTCTAGATATTGCAACATCCTACAGTCCGCCAAAGAATTGAAGAATAACAACTCACGCTCTCTTGATTCATTGGTAAGTTGATTATTATATAGGAGCAGCATTTGCAGCTCACGAAGATTTCCCAAATTATTAGGAACAGTTCCTGTCAGAAAGTTATTACTTAGCTCCAGTAGCTGAAGCTTGGAAGCATTTATTATAAACAATGGAATTTCCCCTTTGAACTGATTTACTCCCAAGTAAAGTCCTTCAAGGTTGGGGAGATGAAGACCTGTAGTGGCTAGAATTCTCCCCGAGAGGTTGTTGAAACTGAAATCGATCAGTTCCAAAGAAGAGATGTTGAAAATAGCCTCTGGAATTTCACCAATTAGATTAGAATTATGGGCAAACCTTAATTCCCTCAAATTTGATAGCTTCCCTAATTCTGGAGGAATTTGCCTCACTATGCGATTGTTTTCACAAATAAGATTATGCAGAGTGGAAATATTTCCCAATGAAGTGGGAATAGTCCCTTTTATTAGATTATCACCAATCAAGAACGTCTCGAGCTTGGATAAACAACCAATATTTTTGGGTATATCTCCAGTTATATTGTTGAAAGATATGGACAAAACTTTGAGTTCTGTGAGTTGGCATATGTTGGAAGGAATGCAACCAGAAAATTTGGTTGTGAGATATACTTAAAAAGTACAGATTCGACACAATATTGCCTTCATCTAGCAAGAGAGGACCAGAAAGGCTATTGTTTGCCAGAGATACGGCAAGTAGTGACGAGATATTAAACAGTGTTGCGGGAATGGAACCTGTTAATTGATTATCGAACAAGGAAAAAAATGCAAGCTGGCTCAGATTTCAGACCTCCTTTGGAATGTTGCCGCTGATTCTATTCCCAGACAAACTGAAGTTCATCATTTTTGTGGCATTTCCAACAGAAGGA